GATAGACTATGATCCAGTGGGTGGCCATATGCCCAACAGTATATAGCCAGCACACTAATTGTAGTAGGTACCTTTAAAATTACTAAATGAAAATTACCAAGTTTGATTGGTATAAATTAGGGATTGGATCTGGGAGGGGTTGGGGCAATTATGTAGGTAAGATTAGAATGAAATGTATCAAAGTCTGAAACAATGAACAAAATGTGTATTAAAATCATGGAGGAAGCACTTCAAATTCCTTACTTCCTTTTAAAATTCACCACTACTGCTTTAAAAAGGCATATGGGATGCAGCAAGAGAAAGAACTGAGCATGGTAATGAAGGGGAAAGGGAAGAGCCGGTGGAAGGGAAAAGAATGACAAACACATCCATGTCCTAGGAATCCAGCTTATGTAACCTTTCCATGTAGCTAATGTGTTTCTTCTTTTCCAAATATTGCAAGAATACTCTTATGAATGCCGAAGGAATTTAAAGGATTCTATTTGTGTGTAAGATCCAAAGAGAGAAAGAGACATTAAAACACTGGCAAATACCATGCCCCTGGGACAACTTCACTCACTTGCAAGACTGCCAATATCCAGAGAATAATTGTGAACTGGCCAGAACTAGAAAGCCTGGCTGAAAAGTACATGAAGGAACAGGGACTGTTTTCATGAAATATGGGAACTGAGCAGGTGAGTGTTATCACTAAGGAAGAAAGAACCTGCTTTTCTCCATGTATACTAACTTACATATTTCTTATCTATTCTACTTTACACTTAGGCTGGCCTTATCCTTATCTGATTAAGATAATATCTTAACAACCTATCATCCTTCTGTTTGGCTTTCAATATTACCATGCAAAATCTCCAGTACTATGAGCTCTTGATATCCTGTTTCTAACACACATTATAATATTCTAACTCTGCCATTAAAATTAAATTCTAATATTCTGCTATTAAACAAGTACATAAATGGTTTTACGATCTTTAAAATAATTCTTCAGGTCAGTGTGTTTTCTGGCCTTCATCCCTCCTATCTCATTCTCTTCCTCTCTTCCTCTCTTCCTCCCACCCTGTGATTTTCCATAAGCAACATAAGTCACTGAACTACCTTCATCTGGGCTCTGAGCTGAACTCGGGACCAGAGAGGCCACTAAGGAATGCCAACATTTTGATGGAGGCTCTGGAGTCCTTCCAAAGCCTGTGCTGGAGTAAAAATTGCTGTTATCACTTAAGAAGAAGCAAAACACAGGCATTGTCTTAAATCCTTATTGGGTAAGCTTATGTCTGATAGGGAAGTCCTGTGCATAAGTCAATAAAGCACTGTTGGCTAATAGGGAAGCAAGATAGGTGGGACTGGGATTCCAGGAGGACTCTGGGAAGGAGAAACACAGGGAGTCATCATGTAGCTGCCATAGGGGTAAGAAGTCCATACCCTTTTCTCTGGTAAGAGAAATACTTAGATTAACGATTATGGAGTAAATACTTAAGTCAGAGCTAGCCAGTAAGAAACAAGCAAGGCTAACAGCGTCATAATTAATACAGTGTCTTGTGTGTTATTTGGGGACTACAACGCGGCAGAGCCCAGGCGACTGGTGGGGAAAAACCAAAGCCGCTAGCAAGAAAAAGGCTTCACCCAACATAATGGTATCAGCATGTGGGATTGAATTTCCACATAGAACGACAAAAGACTTAAAGGAATTTTAGAAACAAATGAACAGAGAAAAGCATGGGTTCTTTGTAGCAGCATTTTTCTCAGGTGGGCTCTATTTTTCTAGCAACCAGCAGAGACTTACATGGCTCGCTTAAGGGAGTCTTCCTGACTCAGAATAAAAAGAAACCATCAAGGTTCTTCTAAGAGGCAATGCTAACAATTGAAAGGTGTGTACATACAGCTGGAAGTGGCAGTGACCACATCTCCAAGCTGGCAGCTTTTGCTGGATATCAGCATAGACTGAGGTAATGAGCTAGAGTCACTCTTTTGCCCGCCATCTTGGAAAAAACTACAGTTACTACCTGAGTTCTGGGTCTATAGATGTATACCACTAAGGCCAGATCTTTGATGCTCTTTGATTCTTCTAATCTAAGTAGATGTGAATTTCTAGTAAATAAGAAGATTATTTAAAATAGATGTCTATCAGGGGATGTATTTGTATATTCTATTCACTTATTTCATTCTTCTTCAGGAGCAGTTTCTCAAGTTTTGAAGCATCTTCATAGTTAGATGTTTAGAGCTAGAGAATAATGTGCTGTTTCCTTTCTCTCTAGAGAAGTGAATAGAGTCTTAGACCATTGGAGTTTTGGTAACATTTGGTACATTATAAATTTTTTATCATTCTGCCTATAAGTTCTTAGAGAGGAACACAATGAAATATCACTCTCTAATAGTTTATATAGCTACACAAAAAATCAGACAGATGACCTTAAGAGAGAGATTTTTCTCAATTGATTAGTGAATAGCCCCCATGTACAAATGAAGATTTTCTTTAAGAGCTGAATATTTCTTTCTGCTAAAGATACTATGAAACTTTTACATTTTATCATGAAATGTACATTATTACATAGATAGCACTTAGTAAATTAGAATATATGGAAGTTTCTTTATTCCAGTGAATAGCCACTAGATAGAGCATTGCTCACATAAAATACTGCAACTGAGTTTCAAGTGTAAGTTCTGGTAATATAAAATTCTATCATTTGTTCCCAAATCTTTCTGACCACTACCTCCTTTGAAAGTTATGTCTGTGTTAAAAGGTACTAGAGTTAGTTATGTTCTACTTCTTAGCAACATTTCTTACCCAGATCATTTTAGTATAAACAAGAAGGGAAACCAGACGGCTTTACAAATAATAAACATTTGTTTGTTATACTGCAGGGTTATGAATGTGAAAGATCACAGCTCCATCATATACAATGTCTGCTGAGGACTTTTCCCTCATACTCAGATATTCTCTGACATGAACTATTTAAATGGAATGATGGGGACAGAAACATTGGCTTATAAGGTTTGAAAGCTTCTTGCTTTCTAGTACTTAGCATATCAGCTAAGTGGCTGGCAGCCTGACAGTCTGAAAATCAAGAGTCACATTAATCTTTCCCCAATTGTAAGCCACATCAAGAACCCAAAATTCTTGAAGGATGGTGAAGGAATTAAATCCTAATTTGTGGCTGAAAAATCAAGAACCAATCCTTTTTAGATAAAAAACCATCTTCTGAATACATCTCTATACCAGTGCCCACTATGTGACCTGATGGAATTGCAATACTTGGGTGTTGACTGTGGTGATATATTATTTATGATTTAATAAAGCTTGCCTTAAAGATTAGAATTCAAAGCCACACTAGATAGTGGTAGAATCTCGACAGTGATGGCACACACCTGTAATCCCAGGACTCAGGACAGAGGCAGATAGATCTCTCTGACTTTAAGGCCACCCAGGGCTACATGACAGTGAATCAGTCAAAAAGAGTAACAGAGCTCACGCCTTTAATCCTAGCACCAGAGAGGTATATAAGGAAGAGACAAAGGGTCTCTTGTGGCAATTAGTCTCCAGCCACGCTGAGAAGAGCATAGCAGTCTAGAATTCTGAGGCTTGGTGGAGAACAGTGCTGTCTGGAGATGCAATGAGGCTCAGAGGATTGCTCCTTCTGTATGAGTACTGGTAGAGGTGAAAACTCTCCTGTGGCTGCTGCTTTGCTTCTCTGATCTTCAGCTTCAACTCCAAAATCTGTTTTTGGGTTTTTATTATTGGTGCCACAGTTGAGAGACTTCTGCCACTACTCCTCAGCATGCTGGGAAAAAGCATTGAGATGAGGATTCCAATGCTTGAGAAAGCAAGGCTCAAATGCAGCATTGTAGTTTGCTGTGGAGCTCAGTGTCAGCCATATACTAGTGAGATGATAAGTAGTAAAACATCTGATTAAAGGAATTCTTGAAGGAATATGCATAAAAAATACTATGATGATAATTCCAGGAAGACAGAGTCAGAACATAGCATATTGATAAGTCAGTCTCACAGGGGCAGTGGGAATACATTTCAGGGTATTTCTGAGAGATTTCCTCAGAGCCAGCCAATTAGAAAAAAATAACAAGGAATATTACTGCAAATTGTAGTACCTACTTAATGCAAGTTGAACTTTAAAGGAGGTAATAGACCACCATGTTTGTCTGTATAATTGTGATCAGTATAAGCACTGCTTATTTAAAGAATTTCCTAGTAGAAATAGGACCAAAACAAAATGTATATAGCATGGTGCCATAAAGAGGAGGACACTGAAATATTAGAGACATTAAATAGTGTCATTTTTAAAAGGAAAATGGACTTCCATGGAAACCAAGTGGTGGTATCTGTAGCTATTTCAGCTACCATAAGCTTCATGGATATTAAGAAGTTGGAATACTCCACATTATCAATGGTCTATAGCACTAAGATTTCACTGGTCAGTGACAGAGACTGGATATCTTGTATAATCTTGAAGAAATAGTGTAGAATGAATGTCTATCTCCATTTACCATGTGTTCAAGTATGATATCCTAGTGAATTTCAGACCTGAGCTAAAATGACAGCTGTATTAATTAAAGTTGTGAATAATAGCATGTACCCTAGACACATACACTATGGCTGATGGAATCTGGGCTGTAAAGAGTGTCAGAAGTATGTGCTGGCTTCCTTTTGTGACATGAGAATACTGTTGACTAATATCCCTTCCCCACAACAACACACATCTGAAAAACAGACTCAGTCTCATCAAACAGATTGAAGTTCAAATTTTGTTGAGACTTAACTTTGAATACATGTGCTGGTTTTTTCACCCAATAATATTCCTTTAACAATGCTATTCAAGCCACACATTATACCTTTTACAAATAAAACAATGACAGCCTTCTTTTCCACACTACTACATGGGTCAAGTCACAAAAGAAATAAGAGATGCAAGGCATCCTGTTTGCCAGGTGTGAGGTCACCCTGTAGGGAACTCAAAAGTACCATTGTTTTGCTCCTCTTATAAGGAGAACTGCCCCTGTTGTGTTCACTCCAACACAGACCTGGGAGCAACTCCAGAGCCTCCTCCAAGATGCTGGTGGTCCTGCTGACAGTGGCTTTGCTGTCTCTGAGCTCAGCTCATAGCTCAAGCGAAGGTATAAGAAAAAAGGTTGGGAGTGGATTTTTGTCTGTAAGAAAGAAGGAGGGGAATGGAAGACACCAATATTATAGTCAAAGTATTATGTGTACTGGGGAGATACTCTTGTTATAAAATGGGTTCAAGACAGATGGAGGAGATAAACATACATCAAACGTACTAGAGAGAGAGAGAATCAGAGAGCAAGCTTGACACTTTATATGCAAAAATAGACATGTTAAGGTCCAAGTTGCACATCTTTAATTTTAAAATTGGGGAGAGGATTTCCATACATGAGTACTCTATTTACATCATTTCCCTTCCTGCCCTCCTTCTGCCAAATCCTCCCATGTTTCTCCCCTACTCTTTCTCAAATTCATGACTTCTTTATTATTATTACACACACACACGTACACACAACTAAGTCTATTTAGTGCTGCATTGTGTAGGTGGGTTTAGAGTTGACCACTGGACAACCGATTAGGGCATTTACCTTTGAAGAAAACTGACTTAATGTTTCTCAGCTGTCACTCGTTTCCCTTAGCTCTTTGCCTCGGGGTGGGTTTTTCTCCCACACCCATTCAGGATTTTAGTGTACTACAGTAGCACATATGACATGGTATAGACATTTATTCTTTTATTTTCCTCTTGGGAAAACTCGCTAACATAAGTAAAAGAAATGATGAAGAAAACACATAATGATATAGCAAAACTTGGTCCTGAAATAACCCTACCAATAGCAATAAGTTTGGAGTGATTCTGGGAGGACAAAAAGGTATGCTCTGTTTTTAGGCATATGGCTGTGATTCCTTTTGTTCATCACACTGCTGTTCTGTGTCTTGCTCCCATTTGAGAGCACTTCAGTGTGTGGCTGACAGGATCATGCAGATTGTAGAGATTACAAATGAAGTCAAATCTCCTTATGAAATGTTTTTGAGTTAAAAAAGTGGTTGACTAAGTTTTCTTAAAATTTCATTTTCTTGACAAATCCAGTACCTTATTTCAATGAAATTAGTGATGAACTGCATGTTATTTCATAGACGTCAACTGTGATGATACTTCCTTCCTACTCTTATATAATGTTAAGTTTATCTTCCACTGTCCTCTTCTTAGGAGTTTTTTCAAGCTCTCCAAAAATCACATTATAATCATTTAAGTTTTTTAGTAACTAATGAATGTTTATTTTAATAATTTAGACAAATATTCTTTACCCCTATTTCTGGGAGCCACCAATTTGAGCAACAGCTCCCCTGTTCCCCAAAGGAGAAATGACTGTTGAGAGATGCCTCCCAAATGCAAAGTGTACTTATTTTTACTCTTTTGTGTTGCTACAACTTGTTAAGCTGCTTCATTCTTCCTTAATATTCCCCTCAAGAATTACATAGTTTTATTTTTAGAAATGCACAGAAATCGTATTGCATTCCCCCAACCAAAGCAATAAAAGGTAATCAGACATAACCCCATCAATTTCAACCTGTGGAAGCTGCATTATCTTTTCAGTAGATCAGACGACAAGGCATAAGACCAACTGCCTCACTAAACTAAATTCAGTGTCCCTTAGAATTATGCTTTACTCATGCAGCAAACACCTCAGACTCTACACTTTCCACATTTAGAGTTCCTAAGTGAACTGGAACCAATTGCATTTCTGAAACACTACTCAGTGTAAATATTCAGAGAATCTGTTGGGGGAAATTTCTGTCTTTCTCTGTTCATTCTCTATTTCTATGCAGTTTTAGATCCTTGAATAGTTAGCTTTTGTTTCTGTGCATGGTCCATGTAGCATTGGAATTATAATGCATATGATCTAATATTTCGTGGGTTTTTTTATAAATTTAAGGTAAACTCCTTGTCCCAGAAGTTTAGATATGAATTCTACCATATCATTAGCACATACACCAATATTCAAGACCAGGAGGTAGACATGATAGTAGTTGGCTGCTGAGCAATGTTTCTAGATAGGCAATGTGTGATGAGGTCGGAGAAATACAATGGGAAGTCTTCCACTATTAGTTTCATATATTCTGAATCATATTTAAACAGAGACTAAGGATCAAGATGACTATATACTTCTGAGATTATCCCATGGAGGATACCCACTTGGATTCTCTGCTAGCAGTGAAAGACAAGAGGACAAGCATCACCCAAGACCACCGCATGATGAAGGCAGCCACTCACATTCTCACTCTCCACCTCCCCAAAGACCACCCCATGGTGGAAGCAACCAGGCAAAGCCTCGTCCTCCTCGCCCCGACCACGGCAACCAGACACAGCCTCGCCCGCCTCGCCCCGACCACGGCAACCAGACAGAGCCTCGCCCTCCTCGCCCCGACCACGGCAACCAGACAGAGCCTCGCCCTCCTCGCCCCGACCACGGCAACCAGACACAGCCTCGCCCTCCTCGCCCCGACCACGGCAACCAGACACAGCCTCGCCCTCCTCGCCCCGACCACGGCAACCAGACACAGCCTCGCCCTCCTCGCCCCGACCACGGCAACCAGACACAGCCTCGCCCTCCTCGCCCCGACCACGGCAACCAGACACAGCCTCGCCCTCCTCGCCCCGACCACGGCAACCAGACACAGCCTCGCCCGCCTCGCCCCGACCACGGCAACCAGACACAGCCTCGCCCGCCTCGCCCCGACCACGGCAACCAGACACAGCCTCGCCCGCCTCGCCCCGACCACGGCAACCAGACACAGCCTCGCCCGCCTCGCCCCGACCACGGCAACCAGACACAGCCTCGCCCGCCTCGCCCCGACCACGGCAACCAGACACAGCCTCGCCCTCCTCGCCCCGACCAAGGCAATGAAAGGTAATCAGACATACCCCATCAATTTCAACCTGTGGAAGCTGCATTATTTATCCAGTAGGTCAGATGAAAAGGCATAAGACCAACTGCTTCACTAAAGTAAATTCGGTGTCCCTTAGAATTATGCTTTATTAATTAAGCAAACACCTCAGATCCTACACTTTCCACATTTACAGAGTTCCTAAGTGAACCAGGGAACATGTTAAGTGACATGGTCGCAGAGCATGTTCCTAAGTGTTTTTATTTCAATACTTTTCTTTTGTTTTTTTAAAAGTTTTTTCAAATAATTTGGATTTTTCTGGGTCTTTGTTTCAATGTGCTCTTTTCTCCAGTAATTTCATTTTCTTACCTGTGTTGGTTTGGGGTCGACATCCTCCCCTGAGAGCTCTGCTTTCCATGTCCGGCTTCCACCCGAAAGTCCATAGCTTCATACACAAGTGCTCAGGTTCAGTGTCCCTGTTAAGTGACACTCAAGGCTATACTTCTATGTATCTTCTAGACTTTCAAATGTTTACCTGACTCATTGAACCACACTCAAACTAAAAATAAAATAAAATAATAATCTAACAGCAAAAAAGACATGCTGATGAATTTTTTAAAGTCTGTCTTATTTTATAAACCACATTTGGAAAGACTTTTTTGATACCATCTTGGAAATCATCAAACATCAGTTTTCCCTATAAGTTATAGGTAAAAATCTTTTGCTTCCCATTTCAAACAATATATATCTTTAAAAAAATCCTTCCACATCAGTTAACTTTAAAACTTTTATCAGCATTTTTCCTCCTTCATTTTTCTTCCTTCACAACTCTCTTCTTTTTCTCTCCAATTCTTTGTTTCTATTCTTCTCAATCTCTCGCTTTCTTTCTCATTTTCACTATTTTCATAATTGTACAGCATTCATTATGTATCCATGCCATAAAAATTTTGATTGCATCCTGTTTAATGTCACTATTGCATTTAACAAGGACTGCTTTTAACTAAGAATAACCTTCATTTCCTCATGGTATAAGCTACAGCTTAAAGAACATAATGTGCTGTGTGCCTAACAAGAATGAACAAAACACTATTAGAAAAAAAGAGGAAGGAAGGAGAGGAAAAGCCATGAAGTCAGGCTCCCTGCTGTTCTTGTTAGTGAATGCAATGAGAGTGAGAAACCTTCTGCTGTAACAATCCATAGGTATGATTTTTCTCAGTTTGGTTTTATGTTTGTACACAGGAAATGAGAAAATATCATTCAAAAGTTATGCTACTGGAGCTGTGCACGGTGCTATTCCTTGTCATCCCAACACTCAAGAGACTGAATTCATGATGAGCCTATGCAACACACCAAAACTCCATCGCATTTATGCACAAATAAATAAAAATATACCACTGGAAGCATAACTATATTTCAGCTTCAAAATAAATAGCTAGCATACAATTTATGTTTGTGTTGTCTCTTTTCGTGGTGGGTGAAGGGTACTGAGGGTGAGGGATGTGGATCCCAAATCAGAGCATCCATGGCTCTTTTTCATGGGTGATTTTGAAAAGCTTCTCTTCTCCCTTTACCCACAAGCCAAGTTTCATTTGAAAGACATGGAGTTGTCTCATGTTTCTCTGCATTCTACAGGGCAAAATTTACATAAGCTGTTTTCCTAATATTTACTTTAATACTCTTACAATTTTAAAGAAATAGGGAATAAATAGCACGTGAAGCAATGATTCTTATAATTTCTATAACTGAACCATGTTTTAGACATGAATGAGGTTGCAATCTGATTCTCTTATGAATCATGCCCCTGATTCTCACTTCTGACTGTTCATAGGCATCACACATTTCTTCTTCATTGTTTCTTTGTTTGGTTTAGTTTGGTTAGTGTTCTCTTGCTCTCTCTCTCGCCCTCATATCTCATTCACTCTGTACACACACACACACACACACACACACACACACACACACACACAGTCTCACTATGTAACCCTTGTGTTTTAGAATTCACTATGTGGACTATCTAGGTTGGTATCAAACTCACACTTTGCCTCTACCTCCCAATTTTTGGGATTTAGGGTGCTGACTCTAACATTCTATCTAAATGTGGATAGTTTCATGTAAGATGGAACTTGATGATATTAAGGTGTAGTTTGAGTCTTTCTGATATGATTTGGCATTTATCTATATTCCTAATAGTCTTTGGGTGTTTATTAAGAGTTAAAACTATGAATTATATCATTATACACAGATATATTACACTTTTAGGCATTTCATACAATTCCTTGAACATATATTAATCGTATTTATCTATGGACCTCAATAAAGCTGTGACATTATTACCTGTTTCCTGTGAAAGTTCAGTACATTCAATAATCTTAGTGTAATCTCTCCCCTTTCATAAGGAAAGAGGATTAATTCCTTTGGGACATCCAAGAGCTCTCCCGAATTTTCCAAAGTTACTTTGGAGTAAAAAGAGATATCTTAATTTTAGAATCTGACTTTTGAAAGTAATCAAATTGTCAAAAGTTTTAAAGACTTGAATTAATAAAATTATGGTTGGTACCAAACTACATCAAAGTGTTAAGATATTACAAATGTTCATGGATGTTTTTTAAAAGACAAAAGGTTACTTTGTATTTTAACTATATGTATTTACTTTATATTATATCTAATTATTTTTCATATTAATAGATATGTAATCAACTACTTGCATACAAATTTTTATATAAGAATTTTGATTTTCCAAAAAAAAACAATGAATTCATAGATTGTTGCTCTTACCAGCATTTAGTTCCCAGCAACCACATTGGATGGCTCACAACCACCTGTAACTCCAGTCCAGAAGACAGTTGTATAGAAAAATTTAATATACACAGAGCATCATTATGTGTCCACAATTAGAGTCAACCTAGAACAATGCAAAGCCAATGAAAGAATCATAAAATAATTAACTATATGGGCTTTCATTGGTATGCTTGATAATTAATTTTTTCATTTGTAAGAATTTCTCCTAGCACTATCCTTATGATCTAATTTTCTTAATGACCATATTTTGTGAAATTCAGACCAGGTTCTCTTTTCTGTACTTACAGCCACTTCTAGTATGTCAACACTAGATGCAGTCACAAATCCAGACTATGGGGAGTAAATTGCTGCATTGTTGTTATTTCAGCACTAGCGAGCTTTCCACATATAGGTTTGCATTAATCCATACTTGGACAAGGACAGTGAGGTATTTCAATATGCTAGATAATCTGTCCTTGTCACACTCTGAGGTTGGAGTGGGTCCATAGTCCCCAGTAACCTGTAATGTAGCATTGCAAAATTCTCCTCTGCTTTGTAAGCCATCACCTGAAAGCAGATACCTTTGGCTTGCTATACCATCACTATAGCTACAGGACCCCAACACCATGCTACTTCCTCAATAAACAGCACCCGCAGCAGTGAGGGACTACAACCATTCCTGGTTCAAATGGCTGGAATAAATATTCATAGAATTGGGCTTGTAACTATGCCTGACATTCAGATTGCTCTAAAACCTCAAACACAAATTTTCATTCACAGTGGGAGGTTTCTGCATCTTCCCTGTTCCAGGTTTGACTACCCTGACTATGAGTGCCAATACAATATTTTGCCTAGTGGAGTCTTGTTAAAAACTCTGCTGAGCAAGGTTGTAATAGTGTTAATGAAGGAAGTCTCTTAGACTATGAGGTTGATGCCAACCTTGGCTGAATCTAACACCCAGAGTTTCAGGAACCTGTACAGTCTAAAGTTTAATACTCCCTAAACCTGGAAATAATGCAGGCAAAAACTAACTCTAACCCATTGGACAGAGGGTGCCAGCCCAATGTTCTTTTTAAAAGATCTGGCCTGGGTACAGTGGTTTCATGTTGTTAATCCTGACACTGAGCTCCAAATAAACCTCCAGTGCTTCCTTTCATGCTGTTTTCCATTAGGTAGAAGGCATTCTCTTTTCTCTACTCTATAGTGTGTAAAGGAGGGAGTGACAGCAATGGCAGACCCTTGACCACTAAGCTTATACAGTTTTAGTAGCAGGTTTCAGTGTAGGTTAGGGTCATGGATCTGTGTGGGACTGGTTCTTATAAAATCAGACCTTGTAGTAGGTTTAAAGCCAGATTTGTCATGGCATCTAATTACTTTTCTCTCCCATATGGAGCAAGTATTTCTCAGATGAGCAGTGTGTTGTTGGGGAAGAAGTAGCATGAGCATTTCTTTGCTTCTTAGATGTTTAGTCATTTCTGACAGTGACTGCCTGCATCTCTGACATTTGTACTTCTTAGAATATGCTCAATGTATTTTTATTAATTTACTAAAATCAGGTACATGGTTTCCCATATGCTTTTCTTACCTCTAGTGAAGACAACTTGGTGTAAGGATAGTTGTTCAACTTGTGTGAGCAAAGGACTGCTGGAGGATCTTAGATGCCAGAGTATCCCTTTCTTTACAACTTGATACACACAAAAATGTCCTCTTCCATGACGATTTTTTCTCACATGGACTACAACTTTCTTTGGCAGACATTTCAAGTTCCTAGCATTAATCATTTCCTAGTTTTCTTTGAATTACCACCCTATCAGGACTGCTGATGGGAGTTGTGATACCAGCTACTTTGCCTGTCTTCCTAGGGCTTCCTGTGAATTCTGGGTGTAAGTTTCTGTGACTCCATAACCTTGCATTCTGCATGCCTACAAAATCAGCATCACATGAATGATGCAAGTTCAGCTTTCAAGTAAAGGCCATTGGGAATGTGAGACCACAACTGTGTTCTTGGGAAACTGAATTTGAGAAATACCTTCTTAGAGGATCATTTTAGGCATAATACCCTGGCATTACTCTGCTTAAGGGAACATGTTCCATGTTATTTTTACATGTCTGTTCTCTGCTCTATTGTGGCTGAAGACCAGGCATTCCATGAAGTACTCTCATGCTGTCTCTTCTGCAGTCCATATGTGTTTAAGGGAAGAAATATATCCAGAAACTATAATTTCTTATAACAATGGTTTAGGGCTCCTATTTGGGTATGTAGATCTCTCGCTACACAATGTTTCTCAGGTAAATGAGTTTTTGGAACTTTTTCATTCTGAGTTTTGGTCACAAATTCTCACTATAAACAGCGCTAAAATAAGAATTAGTACCCATGCATGGATTGAATGTTGAATCACCTTGAAATTCCACCATATTAGTTAGTCTGTTATCTTTAAAGTTAGTCTCTAACAAAATTTCAGGCCATGAGCAAATACAAATAAGTTCCTTGCTTCTGTGAAACATAAGTCATTTCAGCCTTCTACATTTTTAATGAAATTCTACTCTTGAGTTTCTGCTAATCCTCCCTTTAAGCTCTGCTTACAGCATTCTAGGGTTTCTCTGCCCTGCACTGATAGTGTTCAGTTTCCTCTGTGACTCCATTTTAAAGGCTCCTGAAACAGTCTGTTAGGTAGTCACAAAAATATTCCTCTTCTGAGTACCAACTCTATATTGATTTCTACAGTAGTGACTGACACATCCAAGAAAACATTGTAAGATGAGTATTGTTGGTTATTTTGACATGGGCTTTAGTTCTTTTTGGTGGAGGCAGATGGTATATAAAATAATCTGTTATGTTATGTTTAGGGGGAAATGTATTGTGCTGGAAAGACTGGTAAATACAAAATATTTTTTACCTTGTCAGTTATGAAGAAGTTTCTTCCTACGTTGAATGAATCCTGTAAATTAACTTTCTAAGATGCGTTGCTTCTTGGTACAGTAGGGATATTCTTAGAAACTTCTGATTGTCATAGAATCTTTCACTGACTCAGCTATTCTTACAAGATAATGGATATCAAGACTAACAAGTCAACTACTAGTTCAGTTTTTATATGAAATTCTTGCTTGATCAGGAAAACTGAGGCATCTGTCAGACATCCCTTATACAGATTAAGCATTGCCTGACCCAGACAGGATATGAATTAATTCAACCACCCAGAATTTCAACTTTGTAGTTTTTGTCTTTAAAATCCTTGGATTAACAATACCTAGCAACTTACCTAAAGAATCACAAGTTTCTTTATGATCCTTGTATAATAAAAGGTCTGCCAATCCTTGAGCTCAAATTCCCACCAATCCCCACCTTTGACATCTCTAACCTTCAAAATTCTGCCCCCCAAGAAGCCCTTTAAAAAGCCTGCATCCTGCCAAGTTCCCTGCTGGCAGTCATCTGCTTGTGTCTTTACCAAAAAATCCCAAGTAATGTTTGTTGTGTGGTGAGACATGGTTGAATTCCTTAGCATTCAACTGGTAGAATGCCTTTCTCTTCAGAGGTGCAATACTTTCATAGAAGAAACCTTCCACCTGAGAGATTCAATACCTCAATTGGGTAAGTCTTTCCTCCTCAGAGTTGTAACACTTACAGTTCTAGCCAGTGTTTTTAAATAAAAGCCCTTTCTTCTCAA